GAGCGTCAGTTTCCACGCTCGAGCGTCGAATCACACCATCCAGTACTTTTTCAGGCGAAGCAGAGATGCTGTGAGCTTGCAATCCTTGCTCGAGCGTCACTTTCCCGCTCAAGCGGGGAGGCCAAAATTGGAAAATCTGGAAAACTAGATCCTGTAACAACCTTGGTTTTGATCCATGGATTTTGACAACAAAGGGTCACAAAGGGTCCTAACAACAACCATTGAAAAGGCAGTTATTGCTTAACTTCCGCACACTCCACATCAAGGCAAAAGGAATAGGATTCCACATTCTCTGTTATTAGGGATTACCCATTGGATTTCCCACCAATTAGAACACTAACAAAAATTCTTAGGTCTAAGGCGATAGAATTAAGTGGTCTAATGTTAGGTGACCTCAGAGTGAGAAGCAAAAAATTAATGTGGTTATTTATGATCCTATCATTTTTAATCATGGTAATATTTGTAATCTTTTCGTTTTAAGTCAAAACATTGATCATTGTAGCTTGTAATTATAAAAATACAATTGTCATGCCATTCTAAATGAGTTTTATATATAAAAATTGTATTTATTTAGATATTGTTTGGAATAAATCCCACCTAAGCTATGGAAGAAAATAAAATAAAAATAGAATGGTCACAAGAATAATAAAAAACACAAGATTTTACGTGATTCGGCTCAAATGTCTACATGGTGAGTGAGAATCAATCCACTATTAATAATAGAACAATTACAATGGTGAAACAAACACAACTCCTTGATATTTCTCACACTCCACAATGTTATTGTTCTCAATCTCACAACCCCCACAAAGATAATACACACATATATCAATCACCAAACGGTCACTGTTTATGATTTTTCACTGTGCATATATATATATATATATATATCCCTCACTGTGTATCCCACTCTTTCTCATTTAACAAAACACATCCCAACTATATACAGACACATGCACCGTTTTTTTTTTTTTTACTCTTCCAACGGTTTAACCCATCCCATGAATGTAGGCATGATGATAGTTGAATTAATAAGATCAACTTTTGATTTCTTCAATATCAACAAACCATTGTGCCATGCATGGAAACAAAAAAAAAAAAAAACACTCCATGTCTTTTCATTTCCCAGGCCACCAGCCAAGAAAAGTGTAGGCTTTCCATCTTCCAAGAATAAGCTCTGTGCCAACTAATTTGCATGTCCAATAGTCCAATCCCATCAGCCATATGTAATAATGAACCAACATAGATTAATACACAAAAAATAAAATAAATTATTTTTTTTATTTTATCACATAGATAGAAAATCATATCACAAATATACTTCATAATTGTTTCAAAAACAGTTGGGTAGTAGGTCCATATGTTCTTCTCTTATTTTCTTCCTAAAATAATGCTATATATACCAATTAGTATACTAACTAGTGTATCAATTGATAATATGACATAATTTAAGAGGTTTTTGATATTTCCCTTTTGTGTATTTTGGTATGGTATGTGAACTACCTTTATTTCTTAGTGTCTCTGATTGTTGAAAGTGACCCTTGCTTATATTTCAAATGCCAAATCTTTTGTTAGAAGGTATGGACATTTTTTCTTTGAGAACTGGAGTTTTCTAATTCTTTACCTTCCCCTCTCTCTATCTCCATCTCTCCATTTTTCCTCTTTTTTTTTTTTTTCTTTTTTTTCCCTAACGTGTTTTGTAATTATGTGGTTTAGGGAAGCTTGTCGAAGAGATCATTCCGCAGTAATGCAGAGAAGTTTGAATTTCAAGTTGAGGTGTCTTGGCTTATGGGCATCATTATCAACTCACTTTACAGCAATAAAAATATCTTCTTTAGGGAATATATTTGGCATGGTAGTGAATATATTTGTGTACGGAGGACGTGTTTTGTTATGATTCTCTATTTTGTATGGAATAATACTACTATTTTAGGTTGGAATATACTTAATTCGTATGAAATTTGACATTAAAAGTTATTCCTTTTTGGATGGTTAGAAGTGAAATGAATGCAAATTGTGGAATGATTGATAATATATGCATTGTTTTATTTATATATATGATACAGGTTGCATGGAATACGTACATGTTGTGGACAAATTAATTAAAAAATAAACCAAAATCATGTTTTTGGCGACTAAACAATTAGTAGCCAAAAATGAAGTAAATATTTTTAGCGACTAAATAGTTAGTAGCTAAAAATAAAAATAAAATGGAAAAAAACTTTTGACTACTAAATATTTAGTAGCTAAAAATAAAAATAAAATAGAGAAAAACTTTTGGCTACTAAATACTTAGTGGCTAAAATAAAAGTAGACTTTAGGCAACTAAGAATTGAGTAGCTAAAAAAAATAAAATAAAATAAATAAATAAAAAAAGATGAAAAAAAAAAACCGTTTGGTGACTAAAACTTTGGTTGCCGTAGATACTTCAAGTTTTGGCGACCAAAGTTTTAGTAGCAGAGAATAAGATTTTTGGCGACTAAAATATTATTTTTGGCGACTAAATATTTTTTAGACGGTGATACCTTCCCCAACAACCTTCCCGCGACCAATCCAACGACTAAAATATTTAGTTGGGCAAAATTTTCAGCGACTAAAATCGTACTTTTGGCGACTAAAAATTTAGTTGCCAAAAGTGAAATTTCGTGTAGTGCGTTCTCTATTAATGATTTAATCTTCAATTTGCTACAAGTTCTATATTGTGGTAGGAATGGAAGCTAAGTGGGTTGTTTGGGTGTAGTATTGCTCCCTGTTTTGCTTGTTTATATTGGAATCTCTCTAATTTGTTATAGAAGTGCACATGATTGGTCTTGTCTCGGGTGCCAACATAATTGGGATGCGAGGTTTGACAATGATGCAATTTCATTTGAAAAATCTTAAAAACCCCCGAGATATTGATTTGCGATTATGTATTAATTTTAAACAGTAAATAACAATCTCAATCAAGCAATCAAAGGCAAATCGACACAACAGTTTAATGTGAAAAAACCACAATTGAAGTGCCCTCAATTATGATAAAAAATCACGGGCCAAATCCACAAAACAATCCACTAAGAAGATAAGAAAGAATTACATAAGTGTACCCTCAATTACCTAGTGAATCGACGCTCGAATTGAACCAACCTCAATGTGCCTCTTCCAACACCCTCTTCACCTCAGAATTGTCTTGTCCAATATTGAATCCACAACGCTGATATCGAATTTACGATGATGAGCCACTCTAGAATCCACCAATCTTCAGGGTCAAGTTCCCCAGAATCTACCGAAGAACAACTCTCTCTTTTGTGAATAAAGGAAAACAAGCAAACTCTTGATGATGTTGATATGAAGTTCACGGATTCATTGATCATTCTTAAATCATCAAGGAAATACTCATAAAGCACCCTTCAATATAAAACACTTTGTATCTTGTTCCTCTCTGAAAATTTGGACGGCACAAACCCTAGAAATAGTGAACAACGCACATTATAGAAAACAAAATCACGCAAGCTGCTCGAGCAGTGTGACTAAAGGCGGTGCAAAACATATAGGCTGACTGCTCGAGTGCAACTTTCACCACTCGAGCGGTAAAACTTTCTTCCCAGAAGTTCAGGCACTCTGCAAAAATACTGGATGATCCTTTTCTTCGTTCAAGCGCATAAATGACTGCTCGAGCAGTCAAAACAACTTCGACTGCATTTTTGTTTTCAGCTCGATCCCCAACATAATCAGTGAAGTGGCAAATACGAAAGAATTAAGATCACAAACTCCTCTGCAAGCACAATTCGAGTTGTATTTGCATCTAAATACTCATAACCTCACTAAAATAAAAGATTGAATAAAATTATAACTGAAAGGATTTTTGTAAAATGGGATTGCCAATTATAAAAACCTAACACCATCCATAGCCTTCTTGTTGTATGCTTTTATCTTATATTAATAAATTCTTTTTTGCTGATAAAAAAAAAAAAGTGTAGTCAACAATCCTATACACTCAAAGGAAGTTAGAAGTTAGGGGTAATCCAAATGAAGGGGATGTGTATAATCTAAATAAGTTAGCTCTTCGATGATATTTACATCTCAAGCTTCTCAAATCCTTTCAGATAAAACAGTTTCATCTACAAAAACCAATCTTCAAGAGATAAGAACAAGAAGAATACACTACAAGAATTCGCACTTTTGCCGACTAAAAATTTAGTCGGCACAATTCTATTTTTAGTTGGCAAAATTTATTTGCGACTAATTTTTTTGGTCGCCAATTGAGAGTCGCGAAAAGTAATTAGCAACTAAAGTTTTTTAATTGTGAAAAAGTTCTATTTGCCGACTAAATTTTTTGTCACTAAATATATAATTATTGCGACTAATCCATTTAGTAACTAAAACACTCTAGTTGCGAAAAATCATATTTTTCCGACCAAAACGTTTGGTCGCCAATTATCACATTCTACGACCAAAAAGTTTGGTTGCTAATTGTTACATTCCACGACCAAGCATGTTAGTCGCCAATTGTCACATTCTACGACTAAAAAATTTGGTCGCCAATTGTTACATTCTACGCCCAAACATGTTAGTCGCCAAAGGAATATTTGCGTAACTAAAACTTTAGTCGTCAATAGACCTATTAGCGACCAAATCCTTTGATTGCTAACATTAATAATTTTAATGACTAATTAGTCGCTAAATGTACCCTCTCACCCACCTTATTTAAGCAGCGAAAGTCTTACTTATCTTTCTCGACTAATCACTTGGTCGCCAAAATAGAAAAAACAGAGCCAAAATTTTATCGCCTACATCTAACAAAATAAACCTGTAATTCATAATAATCCATCCAATTCATTCAATACAATCTGTAATTTACAATAATCATTCAAATCACCAATTTAACTGAATCATGAACATTCAACAAAATATATAAATCATCTAATCCTAAACATGTTTAATGAAAGTCAGCAATTATTATAAGTTTTCATCCACAAGTAATTCCAAACTACATATTCCTTCAATTAAAATTCCACTTGTAATATATATAATCATTCAATTCACATTCATCTAGCATAAAAATTTAAAAGATAACAAGTTCTTATTATTATGTTTTAAGTTTTCATCCATGCACATCTTTCAAAAAATATAACTAGTAGTCTATCCAAATATTTACCATACACACCCATCCAAAAATATAACTACTAGTCTACCCAAATCTTTTCCATACACATCTATCCAAAATTATATAATTCTTCCCAAAATGCTTATAGTGCCAATTAGTCTTGTACAATTTAGTTTCGTGCACGACTGCATCCATCTGTACCAAACAAAAACAAAAAATAATGTCAGTTACTTTTTTTATGAGAACATTTACACATCACTTTATTATAAAATTTAACAAAAAATGAAAAATGTCCATGGAAAGTAAAGGTACATGAACAAATTACACAAGTTATCAATACCATTTTTTTATATCTAACACGGGGCCTGTTTTGAGACTGTTTCGAACTTGATAGTTAAAGAAAATGGTCTGGTAAAAAAGGCAAACATGGATAAGTTTTATTAAGAATTCCACAAATTAACTTCACAGAATTCCACAAATTAACTTCACTCGAGGAAAAGGCAAGAACATAATTTAGATTCCAAAACTCACTCAGAGGTCCAAAGATGACCCAAAATAACAATAGAGGACAGCAGGATCATATGTAAATCCAATTAAGTAATTAAATATAAGGATGCAAGAAACCTTGACATAAAACCAATAAAATAAAGAAATAACGAGCAATCAAAGTAAACAAAGACTAATTGGAGATAACTTCTCAATAAGAAGACATCCTTGTAGTGTTTCGACACATTATTTCCACTAAGATAGATTAATGTGAGGTACTTCTCAAAAAAAAAAAAAAAAAAAAAAAAAAACAGAGTTAGATTGCTGAGGTCTAACCTCAAATGATTTCTTATCAGTAATTTTGGATGGTTTGACTTTGTAGTTTGGAAAGCATTATGTGGCAAGGCACGGCTTGTGTCACCAATCACAGACAGTGCTTCACAAACTTCAAACAACACAACTTACAAAAAACTCCTTCAAGTTCTGGCTCCATAGAAGGCAATTATTTATGAAGGCAAGCAAGGTTTTGCTACATACTCTTAACTGCCAAACAAAAGAAAAGAGAAAAACATTATTAAAATAAATATTGAAATACACTAGTGAGATAAATGTTTCAAGTACAACATTTATTGGGTGGGCATTGCTAAGCGAATTAATTGTGTAATTTTGCTCAAATTAGAGGGGTCAATTATGTTGTTTGCCTCAATTTAATTTAAGTTGTGTTTCCAAGTCTAGTTTCGAAACAGGACTTCACAAGGTTCGAGTAACAAGTTCAAAACAATTTCTGGGGTTTGAGAAATATGTTTTAAAATTGCTCGATTTTGGTAAAATTAAATCTTTTAAAGTCTTCTGAAACTTCATTTAAGTAATATATGCTATATGAATCTAAAAGAAATTGGCATACTCCTTGGGTTGCTTCTGTTTGGATGCCACCAGCAGCAAGATCTGCTGAAACAGTTTTTGATCCTTCTGAGGCCGCCTTCGAGCGGGTAGTATTTCACAATTGGTAGTTTTGGGAAGATGAATGCATATAAAAGAATACATAGAAACTCAAAGAATGTCGAGATTGCTAGAAACAACACTGCAAAAAGACATCAATACAACAACTAATTAATGACAATACTTACTATAATCTGAATGTTGCTTCATAGATCTTAGTTAGATGAAAGTTCATTTTTTGGAAGGACCGAAACTTCTAAGGAAAAGGAATGCGCAACAATGAGATTCTGTTCATCTCTTTTGGCTGCAGCTTACATTTTGACTTACACTTATCTCTACAGAAGTTGTTTGAACTGATTCAAGGTTTTTTGCTCTGTAGGTTCTTTTAGACTAGTGGATCCTAAAAACTACAAAAAAGAATTGGATTATCCAACAAAAATAAGCCAACTTTTTAAGGTTTTGTTGGACAAAATTTGACTTATTTTCAGTTTTTAGTGGACTTTTTGCATTGTCTAGATGACATATAAAAAAAAAAACTAAAAAATTTGACTCAAATTTGAAAAGATTTCACCGAAGACAAAAAATAATAAGCTTAACTACTCACATTTTTCTCCTTAATTTGAACTATTTACCATTATAGAATTTTCAATTGTAGTAAACTAATAAATGATAGACTATCCCACCGTGTTTGTTTGTTAATAAGCAAGTTAGTAAAAACGGTAACTTTAGATAAAACAACATTTAACATTGTTTTCAATTCCAAAAAGTATTCCCAAAACAAAACAAAAAAAAATCCCAAAAAAGTATGTTTATCAGTAAGAGAATCACATACTGGTTCCCTTGTGAAGGCCATTATTCAATTTTTCAAAGGCTGCTTTTGTGATTAGCCTCAAAGCAGAGGTGAGAGCCCCTGAGGCTGCCAAACCAGCTAGGAAAGACGGCAAAAATTCATTACAAGAACATTCATGAACCAATCGTATTCATTCACATAGGTAGAAATGAGAGCAAAACTAGTCAAAGAAATAGTACTCTTTTAACTAAAAGGGCTTACTTGGATGAACTCAGGGCACATGAAGGATAGGTCTCCAACCATTCCACCTTGAACATGGGCATCTGCAACTCTGCAGGCAGCAACAATGATGCATATACTGATAAAATTTCCGATTCCTCCCTTCCCTGATGTCGCTAAATCCAACTGTCAAAGTGACACCAAAGTACATCCACATTGGTTATTGTGGTGGATGATTTAATAAATAAGGAAACTGGACTGTGAAACACACAAAATGGAGTTGTTGCAATACTTACAACTAATAGAGCAAAAGTACTAATGAAGAAAAGGATGTATCCAGTCAAGTTGCGCTGCCTTGTGTCAATCTTTGACTCATTATATGCAAGTATTTCCATTGTTCCAAGTGCAAATGGTTGATAGACAAGGGTTAGTACTCTTGAAGGGTGATATCTGTTATCAGAATCTTACGATTCGCGATTCGATTCACGATTCAATTCGCAATTTTTGCAAAATCGATACGAATCTATGGGTGAATCTATTTTGGAAGTGAATCTCTAGTGAATCGCACGATTCACAATTGATTCACGATTTGATTCACTTTTTTCGATTCATGCAATTTTTGAAATTATTGTGTACGACATATTTTCGACTCTTTTTTTCTTCATCTTTTTAGTAAAAATGACATAATACAACTTTTAATAGCGTTTAATACCAAAATAACCAACATATATATACATGATTTATTGCTATTTTAGTGATCATGGAATTTTTAATAGGATCCAATTAAATTCAATCAGACCCAACATATTTTTAACCTTTCTTCTCATTTTTTTTTTCTTTTAAAAAATCATAATATATCTTTTAAAGATGTTTAAGATTAAAGTTGCACTATGAATTATCTATTACTATTTTATTAAATTGAATATTACATGTGTGAGGTCAGTAATACTTTTTAAAATGTTTTAGGTTTTAAAATAAAAGATTCTAAATAATTTCTTCTTATTATTTGCTCACTGTTACTTAGAAAAGTATATATGCTTATTGTCCAAATATCAACATTGTTGTTAATTATTGTTACTTTAAAAATTGATAGTTTGTCTATTTGGTTACTATCTTTATTAAGAATGGCTGATAAGAAATATATAAAAAAGAAAAAAGGCAAGATGGTGATATTACATCTTTATTAAGAATGATTGATAAGAAATATCTAAAAAAGAAAAAAGGTAATATGGTGATCTTACATAGGAACTTTTGATAATTTCTTACCTATTAAACTACGTGATTATTATTCAAAATAACATTTTTATTAATTTAAGTCTAAAAATTTTATATTCATAAGATATATTTAACATCTAAATGTGTAGATATATGTTTTTAAGTAATTTAGAAAAAGTGACCGAATCTTTACGATTCACGATTCGATTCGATTCGCGATTCGGTACAAGATCATTTCGATTCACGATACGAATCCCGATTTGACAACTATGATATTTCTTCAAAAGCAAAAAAAATAACATCAAAATGAGTGGCTATTGGAATCCAATCAAAACGGTTCTTTTGTAAGAAGAAATTTGTAAACATTCAAATTTTGATAGGATGAAGAAATGTGGAACAACATAAAGAATTTATCGAGTTCACATGATTAAGCTATTGATGGCAGTATCTATGATGATATCATGCTAATGGATTTTCACTGGCTTATGACAGACATGTTTTCACTAATTTAAAATAACTAGTAATGTTACAAATCTCATTGTACCATTATTATTCTTTCATCACATTTTATCAACCATTGCATCAAATATGAAAGAAATACTCCATTAAATTACAAATATTCAGTGAGATGTTCACTGAATATCTAAACTTGTCCGAAAATCAACTCCATGACACGAGTAGAAAAGATTTCGTTATAATAAAAGCCATCAATAAAGCTTATAGCAATGATAACACTCTTTGTTTTTACTATTTTGAACAAATTACACCCATTAAATTGTTCAAATTTTGAAATCAATTCTCTCTGTTTTTGAAATAAAAAACTTACTAATAAGATGAAATTGATAAGTTAAGGAGAGAGAAAAAAAAATCGAAATTAAAAACAAACAAAAAAAACTAGGGTTTCGGTAGCAACACACTTACCGACGAACCCAGTGTTGAACTAGGCTATCCAGATTCCAGAATCCAGCGCAACCCACGAGATCTCTGGTTATGGTTTAGATATTAATAAGAGAGGGTTTGGGATCGAAAAAGTAGATAATCCTAGGGTTTCGATCTTGGGAGTGGCGAGCATATCATGAATTTCACTAGTAAATTGGACTAATGGGTTTATCAAGAAATTTGATCCATTATTCGTACGCTGAATGGCTTTCAAATAGATTACAGAGGAGTAGTTTTCAATTCTGAGAATTTGAATCCAGACAGAGACAGAGACAGAGACAGAGACAGAGAGAGGGCGAAATAGAGACAAACCTTACCTGGGGTAAAGTCAATCGTGGATCGACGGAGGTGCGACGGTGGTGCTGTGTGCGATGGACGTGATGCTCCTGCACCCAACGTCGATGGACACAAAGCGAGAGAAACAGAGGCGTGAGAGAGAGGCAGAGAGTCACAGTGAATCAGTTGGTGCTCCGGTTGCCGGTGAACGCGAGGAGGAGCGGCGAAGGAGAGCTGATCCGTGGCTGATGGAGCGGCGGTGAGAGAGAGAGAGAGAGAGAGAGAGAGAGAGGGGAGAGGAGCAGTGGAGAAGGAGAGAGAGAGAGAGGGAAACAGACCGAAGAGAGAGAGGCTCTGATTTGTTCTAGGGTTCAGTTTGGAAACAAAATATATACTTGGGTTATTTTACACAATTCGCGACTGAATAATTTTGGTCGTAAATTAATTTTCTAAATCCCTTCAAAATTTGAAATGCCGCCCTTTAAATATTTGAAATGCCGCCCTTTAAATATTTTAGTTCTTTAGCGACTAAAAACTTTTTTGATTGCTGAAAATAACTTTTTGGCAACTGAACTTTTGGTCACCAAAGGTAAAAAGTATTTTTTTTTTTTAATTCGGCAACTAAATAATTTTAGTAGCTAAAACTAATTATTTGGTAACTAAAAAATTTTTTAGTCACTAAAAATTATGAAAAGTAATTTTTTTTATTTGGCGACTAAATAGTTTTTGTAGCTAAAACTAAATATTTGGCAACTAAAAATTTTTTTAGCCGATGAAAATAACGTTTTTGCGACCAAACTTTTGGTCGCCAAAGATGAAAATTAATTTTTTTTGTTATTAATTTTGTGACTAAATAATTTTAGTAGCCAAAATAACTATTTGGGGACTAAAAGATTTGTTGGTCGTTGAAAATAACTTCTTGGCAACCAAACTTTTGGTCAGCAAAAGATAGACAAGTGTTTTTTTATTTTTAATTCGGCGACTAAATAGTTTTAGTAGCCAAAACTAACTATTTGGCAACTAAAAAATTTTTAGTCGCTGAAAATAACTTTTTGACGACCGAACTTTTGGTTGCCAAAGATGAAAATTAATTTTTGTTATTAATTCAGCGACTAAATAATTTTAGTAGCCAAAACTAACAGTTTGGCGACTAAAAACTTTGTTAGTCACTGAAAATAACTTGTTGGCGACCAAACTTTTGGTCCCCAAAAGATGAAAAGTTTTTTTATATTTTTAATTCAACGACTAAATAATTTTAGTAGCCAAAACTAACTATTTGGCGACTAAAAAAGTTTTTAGTCATTGAAAAAAAGATGAAAATTAATTTTTTGTTATTAATTCAGTGACTAAAAAATTTTTTAGACGCTGATAATAACTTTTTAGTGACCAAAAGATAAAAAGTAATTTTTTGATTTTCGTTCGGCGACTAAATAAGTAGCCAAAACTAGCTATACAACGACTAAAATATTTTTTTAGTCTCCAGTTGTGGCAAATTTAGCGACTAAATTTTTTTTAGTCGCCAATTATGACATTTTTAGCGACTAATTTTTTTTAGTCGCCAATAATCAATATACCCCGACAAAAAAAATTTAGTAGCTAAATATGGTACTTTTGCCGACTAACATAATTTTTGGTTGCCAATTCCACAACTTTTGGCGGCTAAAATATTTTTAATTGACAAAAGTAGTCGCCAAAAATGTATTTTCCTGTAGTGATAACAATTTTTAGATAATTATTGGTGTCATCAGCAACATGCACTTTAACTCATAATTTTGGCATTTTGTCACTCTATTATATTGTTGGAATTGAGATGTGGTATCAATACTTTGGAGTGCGAGAAGAGTTTGAAATGTTACTCCTTTGAAATTAACCTCAAATCACTATAATATGATGCTTATGTTTGTTTTTCTATCGCAACTAGACTCTCTACATTGTGTTTGATTCATAAATTTAGGTAATGATTTACAAAAAAAATGAGAGAAGTTAGATGAAATATGAATACAATATATATATATATATATATATCACTTACATTTCGCACACAATTTCTTTTTCCTTTTTAAATTTCTTCTCAAATTCAAAAACTAAATATAGTGTTGAAATATATGCATTTTTTTTAGAAGGTTGAAGTAATATTATGGCAAGCAACTCAGCATCAGCTACAACCAATGGGATCAGCTCGGGCAGAATATCCTCCATCTAAATATGCTGTCCAACATAAGCAAAAGCAAGTCTTCTCAACAAGTGAGCTACAGCATTACCCTCACGAAAGACATGACTAGCCATCGTGGATCGAAAACCTCCCAATAGCTCACGAGTAACTAGCGTAAGATGGCCATACCGAGACATCGTGGATCCTGCTCTTATTCATTGGAAGCAGGGATGGAACCAGGATTTCATCATTAGAGGGGGGTTTAAAAGACAAATAAAATTTTTATACCATATACATATGCACGCATGTATGTACAATATGATATATAAATTATGTATATATATAAAAAAAAAACTTCAAATACTATAGAAGTAACTTCTAATGGGATGAAGGTTTTTTGGTACAAAATAAAAAGAGAGCACAAGATAGAAGAAAAATGAGATATATTTTTTTATGCTGGGGCAATTTTACGTATAAAATGATATATATTTTTAAAATATTATGACAAAGTATATTTTTCACAAAAACAGGAAGATCATGGCCCCCATAGTTTTCTCCTAATTCTGTCCCTTACAGGAAGAAAGCAACCCCATTGGGCAGAGTGACAGTATTCGACACCTCCTATGCCTTATCATGACTTTTTACAAGTCGGGTATATTTTAAGAGTCTCAATTTTTTTTTTCTTTTAATTAATTAACACATTTTTGTAACAAAAATATATTAATTTTTTTTTCTTTTCTTGATCACGTTATGGCATAACAACAGTATTATGTATTACAGCAATGATAGAGACCACTAAAAGTGGTACTCTAAAGCAACCACTAATGATGTGACATTCACTTTTTTGAAAAAAAAAAACACTGTGGCAATGGATGAAGCCCACTGCCACATCATTAGTGGTGGCACTAATTAGTGCTCTCACTCATTTTCTTTTTTTTTTCCCGTTAAATAAGTTCACAGAAATGAGTAGATGGTTAACATTGACATGGAATAAGAAGTTCAAGGTTTAAATTGATAAAATTAAAATTCTAGGGTTTAATTTAAAAAATACGCGAAACCCTATTTTTTTTTTTTTAATTTGCCCTAAAATATTTTTTATAAAAAAAAAAGAATTAGTAAATTGTACACTATCTCAAATAGTAACATAGAGAAAATTCATGTTATGTCCAACATAAGCAAAAGCAAGTCTTCTCAACAAGTGAGCTACAGCATTACCCTCACGAAAGACATGACTAGCCATCGTGGATCGAAAACCTCCCAATAGCTCACGAGTAACTAGCGTAAGATGGCCATACCGAGACATCGTGGATCCTGCTCTTATTCATTGGAAGCAGGGATGGAACCAGGATTTCATCATTAGAGGGGGGTTCAAAAGACAAATAAAATTTTTATACCATATACATATGCACGCATGTATGTACAATATGATATATAAATTATGTATATATACAAAAAAAAACTTAAAATACTATAGAAGTAACTTCTAATAGGATGAAGGTTTTTTCGTACAAAATAAAAAGAGAGCACAAGATAGAAGAAAAATGAGATATATTTTTTTATGCTGGGGCAATTTTACGTATAAAATGATATATATTTTTAAAATATTATGACAAACTATATTTTTCACAAAAATAGGAAGGTCATGGCCCCCATAATTTTCTCCTAATTCTGTCCCTGACTGGAAGAAAGCAACCCCATTGGGCGGAGTGACAGTATTCGACACCTCTTATGCCTTATCATGACTTTTTACAAGTCGGGTATATTTTAAGAGTCTCAATCTTTTTTTCTTTTAATTAATTAATACATATTTGTAACAAAAATATATTAATTTTTTTTTTCTTTTCTTGATCACGTTATGGCATAACAACAGTATTATGTATTACAGCAATGATAAAGATCACTAAAAATGGTACTCTAAAACAACCACTAATGTGTTGGCATCCACCTTTTCAAAAAAAAAAGACACAACAGCACTGTGGCAATGGGTGACACTAATTAGTGCTCTCACTAATTTTCCTATGTATTATATGGTTGATCTGATCTCAGTCTTCCACAGTGCCTTTTGAGAGGGAATGGATTGTGATTCTTTGGAATAACAACAGTCCTTAAGTCTGACATCACGCCATAGCATGGTTTCTTTTGGTTTGATTTTTAAAAAATTATTTTTAGATAAGGTTTTGTTTATTTTTAGTACATTTTTTTAGATTTTAATTTTTTAAATACGTTTTAGATTTACCTAATAAAGATACATTTAAAAAGTAAAATAAATTGATTAAAATATTTATAAAAAATTACTAAAAAAAGCAACAATTTGAACAAAAATCTATGTATATTTTTGTTCGGATTTTTATTTGTTTTTAGTAATATTTTTAATATTTTAGTTAATTTTTTTACTTTTTAGATACGAATAACCTTGTTGTATCTATAAATAAATAAATAAATAAAAACAAACAAAAATTTGTTTAAAAATAAGTTCTAAAAATATAAACAAAACAAAACAAAACAATTTTGGACAGGTCATGTTCATTTTCTATCATAGATGGGTGGGCCTTTCAGAATATGAGTAATATTACAAATTCACCCTTATCAATTAAGAAATTATCCAAAAATGAATCTCCATCATATATTACATGGACTCCACATAGACCTCACATTCCATAAATTAATCTCCACCACACAATTATCTATCCAAAAATTTCTAGGTGGATAAGTCTAGATTCCCATACTTTCTCCGAAAATACATGGTACATAGGAAGATATGCATTTATGGTATATAATACAAACAACTGTGTAGTTAAAAGTTTCTATCATTTTTTACACGGACTTTTTCTAACTTTGAAAAATCGTTTAAAGTTCTTTCAAATATCACAAAAATTGT